TCTCCAGTATGCGTTTCGCCCTACAGGCTTCCTCAGCTGGATGTGGTGATTCAAACTTCCCATGGATTCTCCCTGCTATATGTACCCCTCTCAGGGGTGAGATAATTAGTGTCCAGGCTTGTATTTTCGCGGGCAATCACCATAGAAACGGTGACGCCCTGCGTTTCAAGCCTTTTTTCTATTCATTTCCGGGTTTTCTGTTCCGTTGCGTCACTTCCGGTTTCGCCGATACGTCACTTCCTTGCGTTCCACCATGCGGTTCACTGTGCGTTCCACCATGCGGTTCACCATTTATTTCCCCAGGATTTCCGGGTCGGCGGTTTTTGAAGGGAAATATAAGTTCAAATGAATTTAACATATCTGTGGAATTGGCAAGCTTTCTTTGTCTAACATATACAAGCCTTATATTGGTACATCCATACCCTTAATAATTAAATTTCATTCTGTAGTGTTTTTTTTCCCTCTATTCCTATTTCTTGTATAAGTGTATTTTACAGGCATATTGTGATCTTATGTCATTATTAAAAAGATGAATTCTTAAGAGATAATGGGTATTAATAAATGAATCAGTGGTTATACAATTAAAACACCTTATAAATGTCTAATTCTAGATATTATAAAAGTTGAAACATAATTCAGTCAATGCTCACATAGTAAAAAAAGTGATAAAGCAATAAAGGGAGGTATGCGTGCAACCATAAAAAAAATTTTGCATTTATTTTAAAAAATGGCACATCTCAAAGTCCGCATTTAGACCATTCGGGATTAAAGTATTTAATTTAAAAATCCACTCCATCTCTATTTTACTCATTTTGCTATCAAAGTTGCCTCCCCTCCAATCCTTTTTGACTTTTATAATTCCTAAAAACGTAGTGTCTTTCATGTCGCATTTATGTGCAATTTTGTAGTGTAAAGAGACGCTATGTTTTTCAAAACCTTTTAAAATATTACGACTATGTTCTTCAATTCTGATATGTAGGGGTCTGGTGGTTTTCCCTATATAACATAGACCACAAGGGCAGATCATTAAGTAAATGAGGTTTTTTGAGTGGCAACTCAGAAAATCTTTAATTTGATATTCTTTACCATCTTTATCTTTAAAAAGCTTTATATGTCTTTTTTTATTATTTGACCTTTTGCACGCTAAGCATTGGCCACACCCAAAAAATCCCTTATCCGAATTTAAAAAAGTATTCGTACTTTTCTTTTCCTTTAAAAAGCTTGAAGTCAGAGAATGGCGTAAATTGTCAACCCCTCTGTGTATAAATTTAGGTCTTTCTGGAAGAAAAGGTTTTACACCAGGATCTTGTAATAAAATTGGCCAGAACTTAGAGATTATTTTTCTTACTTTTTTGTTATCTGTGCTGAAATTGCATATAAAAGGGAGTTCCATAAATGTATTTTCCCTTTTATCCTTATATTTCAAAAGTTTCTCTCTTTCTATCATTCTTACTTCTTTCCTGGCCATTTCTAATTTTAACTCTTCATATCCTTTCTCTATAAAATCTTCTTTAATTTTAATAGATTGGGTCTCAAATACAGTTGGATCCGTACAGTTACGCCTAATACGTAGAAACTGTCCTCTGGGGGCATTCTCAAGCCACGGAGAGTAGTGGCAGCTTTCTCTCTCTATGTAGCTATTAGCTTCTACCGTCTTAAAATAGTTTCTAGTTTTAATCTTGTTTTCTTCAATGTATATCACTAGATCTAAGAAAATTATTTCCGTCTTGCTCCAATTGCTACTGAGCGTTATGCCCCAGGTATTCTCATTTAAAAAATTTAAAAATTCAATAAGATCTTTTTCTTCTCCTTTCCATACAAAGAAAATATCGTCAATGTAACGACCATAGGTAACCAAGCTTTCTCCCCAGCCATGAGTGCCATAAATAAACGTATTCTCCCAATGGGCCATGAATAAATTGGCATAGCTGGGGGCAAACTTGGTTCCCATGGCCGTCCCATTAATCTGGAGGTAGAAGTCCTCTCCATACCAAAAATAATTGTTATTTAAAATTAACTCAATCCCTTCTAAGATGTATTTAGTTTTGCTATCTGTAAAATCTGGACTTTCACTTAAAAAATGTTTAACAGCATTACAACCATATTGGTGTGGGATGTTACTATAGAGAGCTGCAACATCCCTTGTAACTAAAAAGCAGTCACTATTCCAAGTGCAATTTTCCAAAAGATTTAAAACCATAATGGTATCTTTAATATATGAGGTAGTCTTTTTTACTAATGGTTGGAGATGAATATCTACATAATGCGACAATCTGCTAGATATTGAATCAATCCCTGCCAGTAGAGATGTCGTGAACCGTCCGCGAACTTCTCGCGAACGGTTTGCCGCGGTTCGCCACGAACCGTTCGCGGCGAACTCCGGTCAGCTGACACATCCCGACCAATCTCCAGCAGACCCTCCCTCCCAGACCCTCCTACTTCCTGGACAGCATCCATGTTGAAGGCAGCTTCAACATGGATGCTGTCCAGGAGGTGGGAGGGTCTGGGAGGGAGGAGCTGTGCTGGAGAATTGGCGAAGCGAGAATCTCTACCCACCAGCTGTGGAGAAATAGGTACATAACGTATCAATCACAAAACAAATCCTAATATCTAATTGTGCATTATTGCATGGCAATAACCTTTGTGTATGTTCTCTCTCATCTAGCTAATTTATTACCTCTGGATAAGCTGGTGGAGTGGAGCAAAGGATATGAGCTCGCCAGGAGGATAAAAAGGGCAGAATATTCGGTGAAAACTACTGACTTCATTTTTCCAATATTTGTACACAGGTGAGAAAGATGGTAAAATATTTCAATATTTCAACAGAAAGGCCACACTCACCTGAACATGACCAACAGATAGAGCATACAACATTCTGTGTACACCTACAGCACTGGAGTCTTCTGCATTGTGTATATAGAAAGTTCTGAAAGTCCATGCATCAAATGAGGCAAACCATTTGGTTTAATACAGGGCCATTCAGGCTGCAAAATATGGACATTGTTGTTCATGGAATTCATTAAGGTCCCAATGTTTTAAATCATGCACTGAACAGACCAGAATTTGGTCCAAGTTTTAGCTGTGCCAAACATCGCTGGACAGCTGAAATCCAGACAGACTGAATTAAGTTTGTGTGTTGAGGCTTCAGGTTAAGAAACCTCTAAAGTATTTGCCAACTGGCAGTGCTAACAGCCACTGGGTAATAAATGAAAATCTCTGGTGGTTCGAGGATTAATAATGTGGGACTGGCCAGCCACCACATTAAACAAACAAACAAAAAAAGAAAATTATGGGAGGACATAGGGTGGGGGCTAGGTTTAATTTTCTTATTGGGGACTTAGTGCTTCCCTTGACCCCCACCTGTGATTGATGGGTTGGAGCCTGAATAATAGTGGGCACCAGGTGGGGTTAGTAATTAATTATATAAAGTATAAAACATTCCATCTCCATCCTCCATGAATGACCCAGCAGCACCCTTATTAATATGCATATGCAGGTGAGTTTAGCCTATTTGTTATGTATAAATATATATATTTTTATTTTATTTTATTTGCATGGTTTCCCACTTCCATCTGGGTCCCCAATCCCCAATGTCATTAATTAAAGCAAAATAAAAAAGACCCAATCAAAATGCCACAAAAAAAGCTAAAACTGCATTACAATAAAAACAAATTATCTTCACTATGGGGAGCTAGTCACAGAATGAGATCTGGTAGCAAGGGAACCCCTTATAGAGCGTTCTGATGGCCAAGTCATAAGATAAGTCGAGCCCTTAATGGATGAAGATGATTTTTTTTTCCAGTATTTTAATTTTTTTTTGCAATTTGGTTCTTTTTAATTTTTTTATTTAAATTAAGGACATTGGTTATAATGAATTTTGATTTGGCTTCTTTCGGTGCTGAAGAACAGAACAATATTGTACAGAGCCATCGCTGAGCTCACAAGGATTTTTTCCAATTGGGTTCCTGTTTTTAAAAGTGGCGTCAGGATGTAATAGTCTTCCTGGTTTAATTATCTTATTTGCACATTTGCTTATTTCACAGTGTGAAAAAGTCCATCACCCCTCATGAATTTCTTCAATACAGGGAGCTGCTTTCAAAAGCTAGGGAAGTAACCGGTAAATACAGATATTTCTTACGGAGTTTAAACTTACACGTCGCTTGTTGTTATGTAAACTTTCATATTTTTATAAAAACACTCGTACTTGAAAAAAACAGGACATCCTCGAAAACGAGAGAAATCTCAGTGTATCTTTCCTGGGAACATATTTTATAAACAAATAAATAAAAACATTTAATTTCAAATAAATAAAAAAAACAATTATGTTTTAAATCCACCATAACCATCGGAATGTGCAGAGAACTTGAATTATATATATATATGTGTGTAAGTGAATGAGTGATCACTGTGATTAAAGATGAGTTTGATCATATTTCACAATATATACTGTACTAAACCCCCATGTATTTTTTGCCTTGGTGAGGTGTTTTTAAATAAAACTTTTACAATCTGTGAGATTTTAAATTGTTGTTTAGTGAATGTGTGAGTGCGCTGGCTGTTGTGTGTTGTATGAATTGACCCAGCAGTACCCTTATTAACATGCATATGCAGGTGAGTTTAGCCTATATGTTATGTATAAATATATATATTTTTTTATTTTATTTTATTTGTAGTGTAAAATCCTTGCACTAGCTTTGGGAAAGCCATACATATTTGTAATCCCTTCCCTCAAGAACCAGGGGCTATACTAAGCTAATGAGATAGCACATTCGTTTAAAACGGCATTTGTAGTACTTGGTCAAACCTTAAAATTATATATTTTAATGTCAATATCTTAGTAAATCCGATTTATTGCATTTAAAAAGCAAAACTTTAATTGAACAATCGTTAAAACAATTTCATGTTACAAGCAAACAAAAACATTCCAATAAAACACAAAACATGCCAGGTGGTCACATTGCCCTAAATGTCTTTCTCGGAATAACACATATCTTATTTTCACAGGAATATTTCCTGTTGTTATTCTCACTTACAAAACACAGGGAAATGTTGCTGAAAAGGAGAAGATTTTCAACAATCTTGGGGTGGAGCGGATCTTTGCATTTGAGAATTATACACCAATGGATAATATAAAGACACGAGGAAGACATGAAGATGTCCTGAAGTTCCTACATGAAGTTATTATGGATGTGCAGTTTCGATTGACTCAGCCACAAAATCCAGAAAGAGAAATGATAAAACACAAGCGAATTGTACTTAATTACATAAAGTATCAAGAGGAAGAAACAGAAAAAATATCAAAACAGAAAATAACGGGAGAGAGACCAGACGTTTGTAAACAAATAGAAAAAGAAAAAGAAATCGAAAGAATAAGGAGAGCCCTAGGGCAACAAATCGGACAAAGTGATCCAGAATTAGGACAACAAAGAATGCGTGATAGAGAAGAGAAGTTACAACAATTGGAGGCAGATATTAAAAGAGAACATGGAAGAGGTGTTCTGGAAATTGAGATTAGAAACCTAGAGGATTTACTTAAAAAGGAGAATAATGAGAAGAGATTGGGAAAGAGACCTAATGGGGACTCCTGTGTCTTACAGTAAACCGTGCTCTGATTCTATAGCATACAGGAAAAACAAGAAATTACAATACAAACATTCAATACACATATCTTGTAATTTAACCATATTGGCCATAATTGTGAATTAACAAGCCAGAAATGAAAAATCAAGAGCAAATCTGAAATTCTAAAATTCTAATATTTGAGCAATGAGTAAGAACATTCTATTGGTTTCCATGGGGATTACTATACTTCTGGCACTTTAGGGGTCACAATATTTATTAACTTGGATGTGAAGTGATCCAAAATTAAATCTTTAAAAAATATCAGATATTGGTATGTAAAATAAAATAATGAGAGAATGGATACAACACGTGAATTAGAGAACGCTAAATAAAAAGAGTGAAAGAACCAACATCTTATGCTTTAATGGGCCAGCTCGGTAATTCGGATTTCACCCATGGTCACTTATTATAGAAAAAAAAAGAAGTGAAATCAGTTCTAAAATACAAAAGTGGAAACCGACACCACAAAATTACTACCAATTAAAAATCATTCTTATAGGCAATTGGAAAAAAAACTTGAATAAAAGTTATTAGCACGATACAGACATTTGAGCTTTATTAGAAAGTACAAAACAAACGAAGTGTGATACGTAAAGTGCAAATTAAAAAGAAAACAGGGACAATTTAAGTAAGACCTCCATGAAGACCTCTATGAAACTTAAAGATACATTGCTAATATAAAAAAACATCAGTGACTCTTTTGGAATAAATAGCAGCTAACTTAAAATATCATCCTAGATTCAGAATACCTCAGCCTGGGAACATATCAATTCTGAAAGCCAATTACCAAATGAAGGATTCGGATCAGGCTCTATATACAAACATTTATAGGTCTAAAAGAAATTCAGTTTTCCCTGAAGCACTGAAAAATTCTTCCAGCCGCATTAGGTATTGGCCAGGTATTAGGTATTTTCCAGTTGAGTCGCAATGAGTCACGTGTGATAAACTCAGCCCCTGCATATTCTGAGGTAGTATGTCCACTATTTTGTGTAACTGAGTTTCTTACTGAAGGAGGTTTGAATTAAGAAGTAGGTACATCTGGAATAATCTGAAACTGTTCAGTGGGGACCAGGACAACCTGCACTGGTCGGAGAGTTGTGGGTTGGGGGCTTTAATTATAGTTAAGTGACAGGGCAGAGCTTGGTTATTCGGCTATATATATAGATAGTATGCCAGTTACAGAGCCTAGGTGTCTCTGTACGTCTCAGGCAGATATAATGGAAGTTGTGGCAGTAGATTCCACAGAATCCTAGAGGAGTGGAGAAGGAATACAGGAGAGGGAATACGAGAGGGGATAATAAAAAGGAAACAAAGAGGTGAAAAGGGGAAAATGTCATAAATATATATATATACAGGAGTAATGTATTACAGATACTAGAACATACTCTAAGTATTCAAGAATATCATCATCGTGGGCACTCTGACCGATCTCTGGCTACGCAGCCCCATACTCAGCAAACTGTGACACCTTTCTATCATGGCCAGCGTTAAGTGTTTCAGCAATTTGAGCTACATTAGCTCTCCTGTGTGATCGGACCAGACATACTAGCCTTTGCTCCCCATTTACATTAGTGAGCCTTGCACCCCTTTTAGTAGGTATTAACCACTGCATACTGAGATCACCCCACGGGACTTGCCATTTTGGAGATGCTCTGACCCAGTCGTCTAGCCACCACTATTTCGCTCAGAACTTTCCGTTTGCCCATTTTTCCTGCTTCCAACACATGAAATTGAAGAACTGACTGAATAAACCCACCCTCTGACAGATGACATTGTAACGATATATTCCTATTCACTTTACCGGTCACTTGTTTTAACATGGTGACTGCTCCGTGTATTGTCTCCTACTTTGCTTTATTGGTTGTTATGTTCTGGTCTGTGGAGTTCAGTAAAGAAATTAAAATGAAATATAAGACCTCAAGTCATTTTATAAATTTAGAGAGGGAGCTGTTATTAGTAGATTGCTAGCTATTTGGTTTCCCTGAATCCTTCCATAAAGTATACCACCCTAGGAAGCGATCTACTAAGCAGCTAAAATATCAAAATTAAGAAAAAGTCATTATTGCTTTTATACTAACATTTTAGATCCTGTGCGAAATATTGCAAGATAAAGGACACTGTATACAGTCTAAAGCTGTTAATTTCCCACAAGTTACTATAAACGAGGAACAAATAAATTTAAAATAAAAAATGTGTAAATGTACATTACTTTTTAAGCTTCTCTGTGACTATAGTGTTCATTTTCTATAGCAAATTTGCACATTATAA